GTGGTGATCGAGAAGCCCAACTTCGGTCGCCCTCTGAGGAACCAGGACCATCTGATTGAGGGCCAGTCCATCCACATGGAGGCTACCCTCACCCCTGTCAACGACCCTACCATGAAGGTCGAATGGTTCTTCAACGGACAGCCCATTCCCCAAGGCAAGTGTCGTTCACACGAGAATATACATAGTAAGATTTGCTGAATATTTTGCTACAAAACAAGCAAAGAGGATCTGTGCAGCTGAGCTTATAAGGCATAATTTTTTATTTGTCAATAAAATCGACCCGCCAGACAAAATCCCTTCTCTCGTTACAGGCCATCGCTTCCGCACAACCTACGATTTCGGTTTCGTGGCCCTGGACATCCTGTACGCATACCCCGAGGACTGTGGCACGTACATGTGCAAGGCGACCAACGCCGCAGGCCAGGCCGTGACCTCGTGCAGCATCAAGGTGGAGGGTAAGCTGGAGATGGCTCGACGTGTACACGGGTGCTTCGTCTACACTGGGGACGCACCAGCGTTCCGCCCTCCCCGCCACACTCCTTATAACTAAAATCCTGCACAAACATCCTACATAAACACTAACGCTCTGGAAACCTTTTTGGGCATAATCTATTTATAAAGGAATTTGAATCACAAGGAAGTGCAGAACATAAAGGTTGTTGGTGGTAGCGGATGCCTAATTCAAGTGTATACGTATCAGTTGGTTGTCTCACAAGCACGTCATGGAGAAATAAATTCACAAACTACCTTTGGTCATGTATATAGATTTTTTTCAATAGTATAGTTTGATGATTTAGTTACAAATATATATGTATGCAAACTTAAATAATTGTTGCCTAATGTAACTAACTAGGTTTGAAACCTGTAGACTAGTCAACCCAGTAAACCATAGTTACCAATGTCTGTGATTTACGAGTGTGAAAGCACTCAACATATGCACAACTCCCCATGATGCTTGTATGACACTAAATAAGGCTGTGCATGATGTGTGTCGGAATATTGTTTCATTACTAACACCTGCCTTACCATTTACGTTTCACAAACTCACCTATGCATGATTACTTTTTAAAAATAATTTTCCTTATTTTCAATGGAATAAGTTAATTTCTAGTCCTTTTACCCAGTATTTTTTGGTAAGTAGATTTATCTTGTGTATGTGTAGACTTGCACAGTATTATTTCGCAGGTTATGATTTTTTATTTTGATTAATGTTTTACACATTAATAAGCAATCACAAACACAAAACGTAGATATGTGTTAAGAACTATAACAGAACTATAACGGAGATAATTGCTCAATGCTTGTATGTATCGATTCTCTATCTCATTCACGTAGAACCAGTTTATTTCTCCACTTTTTTCTCTCTACACACGAAAATCAATCTACTTCTGTGTCACTTAATTATCGTTGTACATCGTTACTGCTCGCTTATTTTCGTTCGTTGATATAGCTAAAAATGCTTCCAAAACGGGCACTGTCGTCTCTCTGCCCACACATTCTTAACAGTGCCAAGTAGTCGCTGTAGGTCACGCTAGTATTTACGGAGTATTACGAAATCTGGTTATATTTTCACGGTTTCATAGGCAAGATTCATGAACAAAATTTTCAATGTATGTATGAATTATTGATTATACCAGAAAGAAAAGGCTTTAATAAAGAACAAAACAAGGCTCCAGTGTTTCCATTCACACCAAATAGAAGGAAAAGAAATAATGTCGAAAGGAGAATGATGAAAAGGGATAATGATAAGGTTCATAATAACAGTAACAATGAGGCCAATAAGAGAAAAGGTGACACAGTCAAACTCGAAGGAAAATCTAAACCATGAGGGCGGTAACTCGTGCAAGCAAATCGTGAAGTGTCTGCGGCGGACGAGCCTCTTTCTCTCCGCCACCTGTCGGTACCTGGTCGTGCGGGCGACTGAGGGCAGTAGGTCGTGAGGCTAGGGCGGAAGGGGGCGTGGGGGCACATGGAGGAGGAGGAGGAGGAGCGGCGGGGAGGGATCGCAGGTACATGATGGATAAACTAAAAATATGGTTGACTCATTACAGTAAGCTGCACCCCTCGGCGCCTGGCATTATTTTTAGAACGTTACACATCCCCAGAACTCACGCTACGGAGATAACTTAATGAGGCGCTGTACTGCGCTGCAGGTGGCGGAGGATAACGGGGATAACGGAGCGCCGATCTTCGCTCGCCCAGTCGCGGAAACGAGCAAAAGCCCTCATCGCCGCCATTTTCGTGACTGCATTTAGACTAGGATCACCTTGGGCTAAATTTATCACGCTTCGGTCAGAGCTTTCACGTTCTTAACGACCCGATCGGAAGGCGTTAACATACGTGCCAGAAAATCACGGCGAGAACTCACGGCTGTTAGAAGCGCGTGTTGACGGAGGAGGCGGGCGAGGAGAGACGAGCACGGCCCTACATCTGGCACCTGTGTTTACATAATGCTGAACTCTCAGATGTTCTTGGCACCCGGGAATCACGGCGGAAAGCTTATTTTTAACCCGCCAGCTGCGTTGTATCTCGCGTATCGAAATAGATAATTTTTTGCACCATTTAATGCTTAATTGTTTTCACTGACTGATTTCAGAAATCGGCAAGTCTTGATGACATTTTCGCCGATAATAAAATCATACAGTTTGATGGCGGTGCAAACGATTTGAAAGCAACTCAGCATCAATATTAAAGAGATGATTAATTTCTGCACTGGACCAGAATCCAGGCGAGGTGGTCTTCCAACAATATCTGGTTTTGGCAGCAAGTGTAAAGTTCGGACAGGTGCCAAATGCCGTTTAAAGATACTTTGTTTCTGTTAAGAACTTCTGTTTATTTTAAGCCTTACTGCTTCCGCCGAAGATGCGGTTATTGCCAGATCCCTATATGAATTGCTTTCGACTTTACATTTAATAATTTTTACATTCGCACATTTATCTTTAGTATCACTTTAGATTACTCGCAACGCATCTTTACATTTAGAATGAACAGTTAAACCCAAATTATTTTTTTTATCGTTTAACACTATAGCAGCCTGTTCATACTGAACTGAAACAATGTCAGCTCTCGATATAGTAGCTAAAACAGTGGAGATATTTAGTTTACATACAATCAAGAAAAAAGAAACACTGGTAACATCTCATACCATATATATAAAACGTTCAAGGAACATCATAAATCATTATCACGGTGTAGCTAATCTAACATCTAAAATATCATCCATAATATACTTGCTTTTTGAACAAGTATTCTTTACATGCCTTCTCTGTCTTGGAAGTACCGAGGCTGTGGTTCCTCCTACTAACCTTAGATGACCTTGGATCTCTGGTGAGTTGCTAACACAAACTGCTAGATTAGACGTGAAAAAGTATAAGGATGACTGCTTAGAGATTTATTCTAGAATCTATTGTAAGCTGTAAAAAGAAAGTTTGGTTTTATGCATCACACAAGTTTGCGTGTGTTTTTGTTTTCTGTCCTTAGGTTATATGAAATATCCTTCAAAAGAGTGAGTGATTTTATATATTCTTAAGATTTCATATCAAAAGACGATAACATATATATTTTATGAGTAATCTCGCAATGACGATATATATAATCTAAAAATAACTCCTATCATTACTTCCACTACCGGTTGCATAATGAGAAAATTACTTAAACAATTTCCCCTGAGATGTTATATGCATCCTTCGTCAACCAGGTACTGGAAGCATGCAGCTGGGAACTGTGGACGAAGAGCGCATGCGCAAGATTCGTCAGCTGGAAGCCATGGGCCACAAGGCCGAGGAAATCAAGGACCAGGTCTTCCAGAAGCCAGTGTTCACCACTCCTCTCAACAGGTGCGCCAGGGAGAGGGAGAGAGAAAGGAGAGAAGGGAGAAAGGGAGAGAGAGAAAGAGAAAGGGGGGAGAGGGAGGGAGAGGGAAAGAGAAAGAGAAAGGAAGAGGGAGGGGGAATGGAGAGAAAGGAAGAGGGAAAGGGAAAGTATTAAGGGAAGGGAAAGGAATTAGAAATAGAGAGGGAGAGAAAAGGGGGAATGTAGAAGGAAAGGGGAAAGGAAAAAAAGGGAAAGGGAAAAGAAAAGAGAAATGGAAAGACAGCGAAAAGGGGGAAGGTAGAAGGAAAGGGGAAAGGGAAAAGGAGTCGTAACCATCATTACCACAACAGCTAACCCAGCTCTCCTCCCTGCAGCGTGGATAACCTGGTTGAGGGCGAGCGCTGCCATCTGGAGTGCCGCCTTGAACCCATCAACGACCCTGACCTCAAGGTCGAGTGGTTCGTCAATGGCGTGGAGATCAAGGCTGGTAAGGAGAAGACAGATATACTTGTGTGTGAATTTTCTTGAACATTTATGCTTATACATGTATACTTGTACCACTTGTGATTGAATGCGGAAATATGTATATTCATACATAGTAAATACCAATGCGTGTTTTGTCTGTGCGTTTCAGGCCACAGGTTCCGCACCACCCACGACTTCGGCTACGTTGCCTTGGACATCCTGTATTCCTATGCCGAGGATTCCGGCACTTACCTCTGCAAGGCCACCAACAAGATGGGCGAGGCTGTTAATTCTTGCAATGTTACAGTTTCTGGTTAGTTCGCCTACATCACTAAAGCTGATTTTTTTGTGTGAAAATGGCCAATCTATTTGCTTCTTTATTGGCATTAGGATTTATATATCAGCCATGTGCATAGCCATGTGTATGATGCCAATGCCCTTTTCCAGCTCGCCGCTCCATCTACCTGGACACTCAGCACCCGATGGGCTGGGAGAAGATCCAGAGTCTGGAACATCGTGGCCGCTACGAGCGCATCGAAGTCTCTGACGTGCCCATGCAGCCACCACGATTCACATCTGAGCTCAGGGTTTGTGTCTGAGGAAATTGCCATTAGTATATTTAAATCAGAAATTAAAGTTGTATCCGTATGAGAGGCAGATCTCATAATATACTTTCTAGTAACATAATATATAAATGCATCCTTTCGTCTCCTCAGGCCAATAACACCTTGCTTAACGAGGGCCAGCACGTGCACTTGGAGGGCCGCGTCGAGCCCGTGCACGACCCGAGCATGAGGGTCGAGTGGTACCACGAGGGCAAGGCTCTGCAGTCGGCCGCTCGCTTCCACACCACCTTCGATTTCGGTTACGTCGCTCTGGACATCACCACCGTGTACGCCGAAGACTCTGGCGAGTACACCTGCCGCGCCTTCAACCACATGGGCGAGGCTCAGTCCTCCGTTTCCTTCAAGGTGGAAGGCAAGGAGGGCGTGATCACGGAATCCGCCCGTCCTGAGGGCCTCGAGAAGATCCGCGAGTTGGAGGACTCCGCTCGCGTTGGACGACAGGTAAAATTAGTTCCTGGATTTTTTTTTTTTAGATTACATATTTAAGATTAGATAAGATAAACTAAAAACCTTGCTCATAATTTCTGTTAAATTCCAGTCATTTAATAATGTATACTGACTTCATTCCAGGTGTCAGAGGAAGTACGCACCTTCCAGCGCCCTGTGTTCACTCAGCCTCTGCAGAACCTGGACAACCTCACAGAGAACGAGACCGCCCACTTCGAGTGCCGTCTCATCCCCGTCGGGGATCCCAACCTCAAGGTTGAATGGTTCAGGAACGAGAAGCCCATCGAGACCAGTACGTAAACAACTAGTTTATGCAGAAAAGTAAACTTCGCATTTACATATGTTGACGCTTCCAGAACATACTTCTGTACTGATTAATATGTCTTATCCACCAGGCTCACGTATCAACCGCACCCACGACTTCGGCTACGTGGCCCTTGACATCACTGGCGTACGAGCTGACGACGAAGGCATCTACATGTGCCGCGCCTACAACGATCTTGGGGAAGCTGTCACCACAGCTTCCATCAAGATCAAATGTAAGTGCCAAATTATCTGTTTATAACTGTTACATGGTAGCGTTTCAATATCAGCATTATTTCATTATAAGAACGATCTTTTATGTAAACTGAATAGGTAAAAGAAAGTATCCTACTCTGTTCTTTTTTCAGCTCACGCCACCATCCAAATGGAGACGCAGCATCCAGAAGGCATGAAAAAGATTCAGGCTCTGGAGGACCGCAAACCTGCTGGTCGTGGCGATGAAGCCGATAAGGTAAAACGACATTTCACAGGAATAATCACATATCTGTTCATGCTGTACTGCAATTGTCAATATCTCACAACAAATGTATTCTATACACATTATTTTTTTCCAGGTTTACGAAAAGCCAGTATTCACGGCCACCCTGGCTGGACCCGCCCAGATCATGGAGGGCCAGAGTGCTCACTATGAGTGCCGTGTAGTGCCGGTGGGTGACCCCAATATGAGGTACGAGTGGTACTGCAACGGCGTCGAGCTCAAGATGGGTGAGTACAAATCCAAAAGTAGAGGAGAGATATCCTCTTTGACATCCATGGTTAGCTTACTACCTCGCGCATCACAATGTAATTGTGCATTTTCTCTCAGAAAAAAAATATAAGAAACTTTCTTGGTCATTCGTAGGTTCAAGGTTCAAGACCACCAGTGACTTCGGATACGTGACGCTGGACATCCTTCAGTGCGTCGCTGAGGACTCGGGTGTCTACATGTGCAAGGCCATCAACCTGGCTGGAGAAGCCGTCAGCTCCTGCTCCACCAGGGTTCTGGGTAAGTACCAAGGAAAAATTGTTATATGATTTTAGTGATCCATTAATATATTTTTTCTTTACTTTGTCATCAACATGATCATCTCTCATGGCGTTCATATTATCCTCCTCCAGCCAAGGACAGCATCCTGGGCGACGTCCTTCACCCAGGCTGGGAAACTATCAAGCTCCGCGAGGCTCAGTGGAACCGCGTGCCCCAGACGCCAACCTCCCCCGAGGCTCTGGAGCCGCCCATGTTCACTAAGCACCTGGAGAGCCAAGAGCGCCTGCAGGTAATTTCTTTGACAACATTTATTTAAGAACACTGATTAGATTCCAGTATCTGTATCACCGATCTGGTTGGAGGTGAGGATGTTAATGAATTTTTTGCTACTACAGGAAAGTGGCACCGTGCGACTGGAGGCTCAGGTGCAGCCAGCCAACGATCCTCATCTTAGCATCGAATGGTTCAAGAACAGCATCCAGCTCGTTACAGGTAAGCTTTCCAATTGTGCCAAGGAAGGCCGTGGGTGTCGTACCATTTATACTGGATAGATACATATGCAAACTTTACAGATTTTTTGTCCACACACACACACACACACACACACACACACACACACACACACACACACACACACACACACACACACACACACACACACACACACACACACACACACACACACACACACACACACACACACACACACACACATACATATACACACACATACACACACACACACACACACGAGGTAAGTCATGTCCAATTATTTACATTATGATCTTCCAACCTGTTCATTATGTTTATTAAGTATATTCTAGAAGCAATAGACTGGATCCTGAAATTCCCGTAAAACGGTTACTTGACTTCCGTCTGGGACCTCATTTGCATACTTGATGACCGTGCGGGAGATAGCAGGTGATGGTAGGGTTGTTGTAGTGTTTTGCAAGCATCTGTTAAAAGAATGTGATCGGAATATGATGCCTAATATTATATGCTCAAATTTGTGATTTTTAAGAACCTCTAAACTGTAATTAAGATTCATCTTTGGCATTTAAATATCTTCAGAGAAGTTCAATAACTGGATTTAATTAATTAGATTAACTGATGATAATGAACGTAAAGAGAAAGTTATTTGTCCGATGTTCTTTCTAGCAGGTTAAAGTTCGAGCAATTTACACTTAGCTGAACTTTGGTTACCTTAGGCAGCTAGTTAGGTCCCGTCAGCTCTCTGTTTCCTCGCCATAGCCCATGACACGCATGGCAGAGGGTCGACCGCACGTGTCACTCGCCTCATTATCCTGCTGAAGTCAGACTTGCCATGACAGTGTCTCCCTCTGTCAGCTCCCGATCTCATTGTCATTCTCTCCCTCTCCCTCCCTCCCGCCTCCGCCCTGCCCCTCCCCGCCCGAGACAGGTCCTGGAGGCATTGTGGGATCCTACAACGAAGGTATTGTTCATTTCATATCCGGGCTTACAGGTGGCGGGACTGCGGTGGTACAAACAGCTGGCTTGTTTGAGGTGGCGGTGCAGGTCTTGGTGCATGGGGCTGTGCATGTGGGGATGTGCAATAGTAGTTGTTTTTTTCTGTGAATATGATATTATTTTATTATTATTCATGCTATAATGATAATAATAATCATTATTCTTATAATAATAATAATAATTATTATTATTATCATTGTTGTTATTATTATTAATTATTTTATATATTATTATTATTATTATTATTATTATATTATATGTATTATTATATCTTCATTATTATTTATTATTATTGTTATTATTATTATTATTATATATTGATTATTATGATTATCATTGTTTATTATTATTATCACTCATGATTGTTATTTTTACATGTTTACGCATGAATTATTCAGCTTTTAGCTCTGTCCAATGGATGTGATTTGTAACAGACAGTATCAATTAATACCTGATCTCCTCTTTAGGTACTCGTATCCGTAGTACCTTTGACTTCGGTCACGTGACCCTGGAGATCTCAGGACTGCGCGAGGACGACTCTGGTATCTACACTTGCAAGGCCGTCAACCGCGTGGGAGAAGCAGTCTCAACCTGCAACATCAAGGTCTTCGGTTAGTATTCCTTATATGGATCTTAATCATTCTCGTTGAAGTTTTGATAAACTGGATTATATTTGAGTGCCAGAAGAGAGAATCTTTCAGAAAGAGAAGAAGAAAAGAAATATGAACACATAAATTGACGTTGCTTTGTGCAGGCCGCGACTGGCTGATCGGCGAGTCCATGCACCCCGAGGCCCTGTCCAAGATTGCGAAGCTCGAACAGCCCACCGCTGGCCCCGGCTCTCCCGATGAGCCCACCTTTGACGTGCCGGTGTTCATCTCGCACTTGAACAATGTGGAATGTCGCGAGGGAGACACCGCTCACTTCGAGTGCAAGGTTCAGCCATGCAGTGACCCAACAATGAAGATCGGTAAGTTAGACGATTCCGGCTCTATGATAGATATTTCCATAATTTAAACGTTATTAATCTCTCGAGTGTAGGTTGCAAATAACAATTGTAGATACAGTGTTCCTAATACTTCTTCCTGTTGCAGAGTGGTTCATCAACGGCAAACCAATGCAGGCAGCCGCACGTTACCAGGCCACCTACGACTTTGGATTCGTGTCCCTCGACTGCACTCATTGCTACGCCGAGGATTCCGGCATCTACATGTGCCGCGCCACGAACGCCAAGGGCTCAGCCACTACCACTGGCACACTGACGTGCATCAGCAAGGCCAACCTTACGACACCCAGCACCCGCAGGGCAGAGCTGGCCTTGAGGCAGTAAGTTTCGTTGTGTTCGGAGTCTGTGCATCGGCTTTACATGCAGTGGCTTTTTGTGTGATATAATAGAGTTTGTGTCTTGTGTTAACGTTTCATTACTCTGTCTCGCCAGGTGGAGGAAGCCGAGCGTGCCTACTGGGCCAAGTACCAGAGGCAGATGTCTGAACGTGAAGTCTCCTACCCGAAGCCCTTCTTTGTCAGGCCTCTGCAGACCAACTTCTCCCTCAATGAGAACCAGGTATGTGGACTGGCAATGATATCAAATACAAGCATTCAAATTAGATATAGTTCAATGGTGTTATAAATTGCAGCAAAAAAAGACAAAAATAACTACCTACATCTCCTTTTATTTAGGCTCTGCATATGGAGGCCAACGTTGAGCCCAAACAGGATCCTGATCTTAAGATCGAATGGTTCTTGAACGGCAAGATTCTGGAACAGGCATCGCGCTATAAGACGAGCTACGACTTCGGTCTTGTCACCCTTGACCTCAGTGACGTCTACGAGCGTGACCAGGGTATCTACACCTGCCGCGCCTACAACAAGGTCAGAACATAAATGAAAAAAATATTACGGTTAAGAGAATTTTGTAATATATTATCAAATAGTGCATTATTCCCAAGTTAAAATACATTAAAATACCTTTGAGAATATTGTTTGCTAAAGACGGTATGTCAATCATCTTACAGGCAGGAGAAGCCTTCTGCACCACCACCGTCGTTGTGGTCGGCAAGGATGTCCTCATCGAGGGCACTCAGCATCCTGCTGGCGAAGCTGGCCTCGAGGCTATCCATGTAAGCATACTAACTTATATCATATATACAGCATATTGAACTAATAACACTGGTGGAACGCAAATCATGTTTCCTTTTCTATAAAAAAAATACCTAACTAATCATTAGCCTGGATTTAGCTGTAGTTAATTTACCGATTTCGTTTCCCTCCAGCGCATGGAGAACAAGCTCCGCCGCGACGACCGCGCTCTCCCCGACGAGGAGGGCCACCCGCCCGTCTTCACCGTCCCCTTCAAGGTGAGGCTCCTGCCAGGCGCTGATCCACACTCCACGCACTCTATACTGTGTTTTGATATCGATAGCAGATGCGCACATGTGGACATATGAATGGCTTGATGTATAGACAGATACATAGATAATTGCATTGGCGCACACACACACATATGTGTGTGTGTGTTTGACTGAATGTACATGCTGAAAAATATATAATTAGATGTAAATTGAAATACCATGGTATAAAAATTTACAGCATCAACACGGTAGTGTTTACCAGACATAGAAATGCAAATGTGTCAGCACGTGTGTGATAAAAAACAACAATGTGTTTAACTCCCCTGACCTTCTGTCCGTAGGACCTGAGCAACATGGAGGAGGGTGAGATCGCTCACTTCGAGGCCATGCTCACCCCCGTCGGCGACGAGTCCATGAAGGTCGAATGGTTCTTCAAGGGCGAGGCGCTCAAGGCTTCCCATCGCGTCCGCACAGTATACGCTTTCGGCATGGTTGTGCTTGAGATCCTTACAGTGCTTTCCACTCTCTTCTATCTCTCTCTCTCTCTCTCTCTCTCTCTCTCTCTCTCTCTCTCTCTCTCTCTCTCTCTCTCTCTCTCTCTCTCTCTCTCTCTCTCTCGCAAGACATCAATAAAGATATGAATAATATGTGATGAATATATTATCAGTATGTAATAATTACGGGAAAAAAGGGTTCCGAAAAGCTGTTGACCATATATCTTTTCCATTCTAGATCTCCGACAGCGGAGAGTATACTTGCCGTGCATCCAACAAGTGGGGTAAGGCTGAGTGTTCCGTAACCCTTGAGTGCGTCGACCGCGCTCATGGTCAGCCTCCGCGCTTCACCACTCACATCCAGAACCTGGAGGGACTCAAGGACGGCGACTCCGCCCACTTCGAGTGCACTCTGGTCCCCATTGGTGATCCCAACATGAAGGTCGAATGGTTCCACAACGGCGAACCGCTCCGCAACGCTACACGCATCAAGACCGTCAGCGATTTTGGCTTTGTCGTCCTGGACATTGCCTACCTGCAGAACCACGATGCCGGCGAATGGATGTGCAAGGCCTCCAACAAGTATGGCGAAGACACTACCAAGGCATTCCTGAACTGCTATGGAAAGGGAGGTGTCTACACAGAGTCACTGCAGCCCGGCTCGCTCGACAAGATTGCAGCTCTGGAGGGCCAGAAGGCTGGAATGCAGGCTCCCACCACCCCTGCGGCAGCCGAGCCTCCCAAGTTCATCACTCAGATCGCCAACATCGAACGTCTGGTTGAGGGACAGAGCGCTCACTTCGAGGCGCGCCTGAAGCCCGTGAATGATCCCAACCTTGTTGTTGAGTGGTATAAGGATGGCAAGAAACTTCCTTCTGGCCATCGCTACAGGACCTTCCATGACTTTGGCATTGTTATCCTGGACATTCTGTACTGCTACGAGGAAGACTCAGGCGTGTATGAGGCCCGGGCTGTCAACAAGCTTGGCGAGGACAAGACAACTGCTACCCTGAAGTGCCTTAGCAAGACCAACCTCATCCTCACACCTCAGGTGCCCAAGGGAATGGAAGGCGGCCTTCAGAAGCTCCAGACCTTGGAGGACACTGCCTGGATGCGTCGCGAGTCCGTCACATCTGAGAGAGTGGGCATGGCACCCAAGTTCACTGTTCCTCTAAATAACATTGACAACATGAAGGAGGGAGAGAATGCTCACTTCGAGGCCCGCCTTGTGCCAACCGATGACCCTCGCCTGAAGGTCGAATGGTACTGGAATGGAAAGCCCATGAAGTACAGCTCTCGTATCCGTCAGTTCTGTGACTTCGGCTTTGTAATCATGGAGGTTTCCCCAGTTTACCCTGAGGATTCTGGTGAGTACATGTGCCGTGCTTACAATGACTATGGTGAGGCTGTCACAAAGGCTTATCTGAAGTGCGAGGGTAAGCGCTCTGTCATTCTCGAAAGTCAGCTTCCTAAGTCCATGCAGAAGGGCATGGAAAGGATTGCTGAACTGGAAGGCCTCATGATCAAATCACCCGATATGGGCACTCCATCCGACTCTGGGCAGCCACCACAGTTCGTGACACAGCCTCAGGATTGCACCATCCTTGAGAACCAGCTGGCGCACTTCGAGTGCCGCCTCCTGCCAGTGGGCGATCCTTACCTCCGTGTAGAATGGTATCATAATGGACGCCCACTGAGGGCTGGGTCTCGCATCAAGACCATCAATGACTTTGGTTACGTCATTCTGGAACTCGCTGGTTGCTATTCCAATGATTCTGGAACTTACACTTGCAGGGCGGTCAATAAGCATGGCGAGGCTTCCGTCGAATGTAAGCTGGTTGTTTCCAGCAAGAGTGGAATTATCCTTGATCCCCAGGCAACTAGTAAGTTCAAGGGATGCACCGAGTCCATCCAGAAACTGGAAGAGAGTATGTACAAGAAGGAGAGGGCTCCCGATGAGGAGGAGAAGCCGTGCCCACCAAACTTCGTCACTCAGCTGGAGAACATCACCGACCTGGTTGAGGGACAACCTGCTCACTTCGACTGCCGTGTCGAGCCTGTGGGAGACCCAACCATGCGCATTGAATGGTTCCATAATGGTATGCCACTTGCTGCTGGCTCTCGTGTACACATGATGGATGACTTCGGCTTTGTCGTCCTTGATCTGGAATGGACCTTCGCCCGTGACACTGGCGAGTACATCTGCCGTGCCACGAACAAGTGGGGCCAGGCAACCACCAAGGCCACGCTCAATGTCCGCTCTAAGCACGGCGTTGACCTCAGCACGCAGCTGCCTCAGGGCATGACCGCTGAGAAGCTGAAGGAGCTGGAGCGCGGACCTCTCACTGAGAAGTACGACGCTGACGCCGAGATGACGCCCCCCAAGTTCACCGTCCCCATCAAGAGCCAGAGCATGCAGGAGGGAGAGCGCGCGTTCTTCGAGGCCCGCGTTGAGCCACGTAATGATCCTAATCTGCGTATTGAATGGTACCACAACGGCAAGCCTCTGCAGTCCGGTCACCGCTTCAGGACCAATTTCGAGCTGGGCCATGTGACCCTCGAGCTGCTTCACACTTACGCCGAGGACTCCGGTGAATACGTCTGCCGCGCCTACAACAAGCTCGGACAGGACATCACCAGGGCTTCTCTTAAATCCAAGGGTAAGTAGACTCATGAGATGATTATCATATCCCATCATATTTCCATTTTTGGAACATATTTAGGGGTAGTAAGAGAAATTATTGAAACCCAATATATTTTTTCTACAGCCGGCCAGTCCGTGGTGCTCCAGTCGCAGGTGCCAAAGGGCATGAAGACAGGCCAGGACTTCGCCTCGCAGATGGAGGAAACTCTCAAGAAGTATTGCAAGGATGTCATGCTGACACAGGAAGACATTTACGAGCCCGAGAAGAGGCAGCCACCTCGCTTCGTGACTCACATCAAGGACGTGAGGGATCTCCAGGAAATGGCAGAGACCAAGTTCGACTGCCAGCTGGCTCCTGTCGGCGATCCGAACATGAAGGTCGAATGGTTCTTCAATGGCCGTCCTCTGCCCTACAGTACGTCTAAAGTGATTGGTTTAAACAAAAAAAGGAAAAAGAAAGCAAATTCACAAAATGCATGCACGTGTGTGTGTATACATACACACACACAAACACGCTTACACACACATTTTTTCTCTCCTCTCTCTCTCTCTCTCTCTCTCTCTCTCTCTCTCTCTCTCTCTCTCTCTCTCTCTCTCTCTCTCTCTCTCTCTCTCTCTCTCTTCTCTTTCTTTCTTTCTTTCTTTCCTTTCTTTCTTTTTCTTTCTTTCTCTCTCTCTCTCTCTCCTCTCTCTCTCTCTCTCTCTCTCTCTCTCTCTCTCTCTCTCTCTCTCTCTCTCTCTCTCTCTCTCTCTCTCTCTCTCTGTATGTATCAGTCTATTTATGTATCAATCTATCCATTTATGTATCTGTTTATCTCTCTCTCTCTCTCTCTCTCCTCTCTCTCTCTCTCTCTCTCTCTCTCTCTCTCTCTCTCTATATATATATATATATATATATATATATATATATATATATATATATATATATATATATATTATATATAATATATATATATATATATTATATAGAGAGAGAGAGAGAGAGAGAGATATACCTACATGCATATATATACCTATATATATATATATATATATATATATATATATATATATATATATATATATATATATATATATACATATATATACATATATACACACACATGATACATGCATTTATATTTACACACACACATACACTGCAAAAAATACACACGTATACACAAAGTCATGCAAATGTGTGTATGCACACACACACACACACACACACACACACACACACACACACACACACAACACACACACACACACACACACACACACACACACACACACACCACACACACACACACACACGTATATATAGTTTATTTAAGTTTTTATTAATATGTTTACCTTTTATGTACACAAATAGTGTTTCGAATTGCGGCCCATGATTTCCCCAGCCGCTGACCTTTCCTTCTGCCCTTCCCCAGAGAACCGCTTCACCCCCATCTACGACTTCGGCTACGTCGCCCTGGTCATGAACTGGGTGTTCGGCGAGGACTCCGGCGAGTACCTCTGCCGCGCCACCAACAAGTGGGGCATGGACGAGACCCGCGCCACCCTCAAGGCCACAGGGCGCCCCGGTGTCATCTACGATTCCCAGATCCCCAAGGGCATGCAGTCCCTCGAGAAGATCAGGGAGCTCGAGGCATCCTGGTCACAGTACGTTGAGGATATTGCCTTGTGTGGTTGAAAACGTTTCAATATTGTTGGGTCGTTATGATGGATGATTTTAATGGTATGGGAAAATGTTAGAAATCAATTAGAGGGAAGTTGGTGGCAAAGAGAAGGGAGTCACGATTACTACGACAGTTTATAAAGGAAATGACCGAAGCAATAATGATAATGGTGCTTCTACTGATATTAATAATGGCGATGATTAGAATATTAAACCATATATAAGTATAAGAATGACATGATAAGAATATTAAACCTTAGAACATGCAGAAATGGTAGTGCTGTAAGAGCGCAATACAAGTAAGAAATACTTCTAATAAAACGATTCTTTCCCGTGCGACAGTACCCACGAATCCCAGGTGGACGAGGAGAAGCCACGCGTGAAGCCCGAGGTTCTGAAGAAGCCCGAGAGCTTGGTGGTGCAGGAGGGCGACTGGGCCCGCTTCAGCGTCCGCATCTCTGGCTATCCCAAGCCACGAGTCATGTGGATCGTCAACGGTTCCACTGCCATGAGCGTGAGTGCTTCTCAAATACATTTCTCTCCTATTTTCCCGTGTAATTTCAACGCATCCGAAACAATTAGCAGTCTGTAGATCTGCGTATTTCTAGCAGACCATGAATCAATACGAGACGTCTTCCTCCTCCTTCAGGGTAACCGCTTCAAGATCTGGTACGACGGGCTGTTCCACCTCGACATCCCCAAGACCCGCCAGTACGACAACGGCAAGGTCGAGGTCATCTGCCGCAACTCCCTGGGCGAGTGCTACGCCTGCTGCGACCTCAAGGTGATGCCGCGCCAGGACGACTACCGCGCCGTCCTCAAGAATTCACCCAAACGTAAGTGCGGCGTCTTAGAAGGAGGCTAGTCGAGGGGGCGAGGCGCTGCGAGATGGACCCCGCCTTGTGCAATCCTGGCTATCTGGACATCAGCCTTGACTCTGCACAAGGCGGCGATCCTTATCTTCAGCCTCGTATCTTCGATGAAGTTGCTTTTTTCATCCATCATCTGCCTTTCTCTCACTATCGCTTCAAGGTAATGTCGAATCTCTTCCAGGGTTACAGGATCGCTTGGGGACAGATCTGGCAGCTGTGGCGGTTTTTATATATTCATAACATTTTATTTCTCTATTCTTAACGAGCATTATTCTGCGTGTATGTGTCCTCCAAACTGTGGTTCTATGGCGGCCGCGAACACGCATGTCAAAATTGTACCTAGCAGATTGGCGCCTTATCTGCTAGGTTGGTTTTGGCTCGCGTGTCACACTCCGCCCGATACGCAGTTTCAGGGAAGCTATACAGCACTTCTCGCTAGACTTTCATTGCTAACCACACGAGCGCTACACTTACGACTTTATTCTAATTTCTTCACAATTTATTACACAATTTATATCCTTATGCCACTCAAAACTAACAACATTCCCCTACAAATCCAAAATTTTATTTCTTCATTTTCTCATCATTATTATTATTTGGTAAGTCGGCAAAGGTAAGAGTTAAGCGGTCTGAGTTCCGAGTGCCATGTTGTGTTTTCCTCTCCCACGTATGATTAGTTTCCTCTTTAGTTTACTTTTGATTGTTTAGTCCGTCACTCCTTTCCATTGTCCTTCATCTGTACTAGTCCACTAATTTAATTACTAGAAGTCACTAATGATTTTTGCCTCTTTTCAAAGGCCTGTGAATCCCGCCTGACTCTGTTGTTTTTATTTGCATTTCTTTGAAAATCATTTTCTTCAAGCTGGTATTGCTGTGCCCTCTGCATGTTGTTGATATTATACTCCCTTCACATATTCCATTCCACAGGTTTATTCTTGACTGAAGTGATGACCAATGATCAAACCACATATTTCCTCAATACATTTGCTGTCTGTCTTATAATACAGTCACACTTTTGTTCAAATGAACACGTTTCTATCACCTGTTTATCCAATATTGTCACCCTTTTTCACCTGTGTGCTGCACTTGCCACCTCTAGTCGAGTAGCTTCCCCATAGTTCCTACAATCATTTGCTAGAATTACCAGTTACCCCGTTGTTGTTCTGTTTGATTCCCTATTAGCCAGAGTTCGGTGGTGGCTTGAGCATGCGCCCTGCCGTGCTGGCGGGAGGGCGGGCCATAACATGTGATATTTTTGTAGCCTGGTATGACTATGACCTCAAGAGTTACCAGAAGGAACGCCAGGAAACTGAGCTTGACCGTGTCTTCGAGGAGAGAATCGACAGCGATTATTCAATCCTCCACGAATCCAAATTCGGCGAATACATGGCCAGACCAGTCGATAAGACTGAAGAAACCGAGTGGCAGAAACTCGCTCGTGAGAAGAACGCAGGAGAAAAGATTAAGCAGGTCGGTGGTCTTAGCATAGTTGGCGAAATAACGAAATATTTGCTATAGATATCTATACATCTTTCGGATGATTGTTCAATATCGAAACGAAATTGCATAGAGTTAGGTGCGCCTTATTTTTCCTCTAACTTTTTTCCAGGTTGGAGAAAATATGTGTTATACTTCCTATTTACTTTTCAGTCATGTTACTGTAGTGTTCATAATAGATATATAGGTTTATGCATGAGTTTAATGTCCCTGCCCTCGCCCCTCCGCAGCTGGAGGACACGAGGAGGGTGAACCGCAAGAACAAGGACGTGAAGATGTTCGCCTCTCCGCTCGAGCACGCGGCCCAGCACTCCCTGGCGAAGGGCATGGCATCTCGCTACGAGGAGCAGCTGTAAGTACAGGCATTCAGCCGCGCCCTTCGTGGCAGCATGAAAGTGGGCGTGTCATGTATGCGGGAGGCCGAGCCGGGTCATAGGTCGGGGAACAGAGGCTCGGTTATCCTCCTCCTTCCCTGGCACTTGGCGCCGCGGCTTGGCTCGTTCGTTTCTGTCTCGGAGACGACTACATTTTAACGCAGTAATCGCATCATCTTTTCACTGGGGTAGCCATTCTGCAGAAGCCTGGAAACAGCATTTGAGTACTTCTTAGCTCTAGAATGCAATGGTTGTCTTACAATTATTACAATAATTTATTTAACATATACACTTCATCAGTACTCATTCATCTTAACGCTAGAGGAACAAACACCTCGTAGTCAAGGAACATTGTTTTCATTCACTCTGAAAGTTGGCATCGCGAGATTGCACTAACCTCCATACTGACTATATTACCGGCATTCCTACAGCGACACAGTGTCTGCCAAACAGCAGCAGCCGCTTCAAAGGCCTAAGAGGATATTAAGGTAGCAGAAATTTTTGATTTCAAAGTGGGATGTACCTTTACTGTTTTCGTTTTGTTATCGAATTTGTTTTATTTCGTTGATCTACGTTTCAAGTCTCGATTTTTTAATTTCTCTCTTTCTTTCTTTGTCCTGTTTGCTGTTACCTTCAGGACGATTTTTATTTATTCTGCGTAGTGATAATTTTGTTGTTTCAGTTTATAGGTTTATATGACTCTAACTCTATTTATTTTCCTGGTCTGCATTCTGTTTAAGTTCATTTTTTATTTGTATATATATATCAGAATTGTTAATTTTCAAGTTCACATTTGTAAACATTTGTTGTTGTTTGTTTTTATTTCACGTGAAATTATAATGTTCACTGTGGTCCCTGCGTGGTAGATATTTCTTGCGTTCGTCCCATCATTCCTTTTGTTGTTCGTCGATAACACCTCTGTCTCGGTCTCCAGTGTCACGTGACCAAGTAGAACACTTGTCGCCCTGTAGTTTGCATGATTTCGAATGCCAGAATACACGTAGTTTAGCCAGAAGCCACGACAAGGATAAAAAAGCTTTATTCAGAGGGGGTCATTCATATGGAATTGGCCATGACCAGTTCCATGTGTTTTTAGATTTGCCGCTTGTCCTTCTCGTGGTTTTGCATAACATGCACTTACATTTTAATTCCGAATATATGCCTCTGTGATGTATGATGTTAAATAGGATTGTAGGATAAGTGGATATATATAAGCAGTCACACACACTTAAACACACACACACACACACACACACACACACACACACACACACAACACACACACACACACACACACACACACACACACAACACACACACACACACACACACACACGCTATGAACAGATACAAATTTTGACTGAGCAACTGACAACAGTTCCTGAAAACATGTCACACAAATAACACTTCCATATTCTAATTTGAACAACCAAGTCGACAGTATAGAATTATTGAGTTCGGTCGAAGACTTTTCAAGGAGAACCTCGCAATGTCTAATATGTATTGTTTATTTCCTCCTCGACCAAAGGGAGACCAAGGACGTGCGCCATGAGCAGCAGTACCCGCCGAGGGAGCCCGAGCCCTCCGAGTCGACTGTGCACGGCAAGGAGGTGAGTGACTTCGCCCAGACGGGACTGTTGGTTGTTCTAATGTTTACATTGGTTTTGATTTGAAAACAGTCGTCTTGAATACTAATGGAATCATACATGACATTCTGCTTCTTCCACAGATCCACACTGCCACTCAGAAGCAGACTCAGAAGGAGATCCAGGGAGACCTTGAGATCACTCGTAAGATCACGGCCACAGAGACCACTGAGATGGAACACACCGGCAAGACCACAGAGCGCATTGTCGAAGGGCCTCCCCAGAAGCCCGCCAAGGCTCCGTTCTTCACTAGGAAGATCCAGCCATGCCGCGTCTTCGAGAGAGAACGTGCCCGCTTCGAGGTGGAGTTCGACGGCGATCCCAACCCCACGATCCAGTGGTATCGCGAGGACTTCCCTATCACGAGCTCCCCAGACTTCCAGATTCATACCTTCGGCGATAAGAGCATCCTCATGATCCGCGAAGTCTTTATGGAAGACTCTGGTGTGTTTGCCGTCGTGGCGGAGAACAGGGGAGGCCGTGCGAAGTGCTCGGCAAACTTGGTGGTCGAGGAGCGCAAGCAGAGGGGCGCTGGCGCTGTGCCCCCCAGCTTCTACCAGACCATCCAGGACACCTTCTCGCAGCCAGGCAACCTCGTGAGGCTCGACGCCAAGATCTCTGGAACGCCGCCGATCGACATCTATTGGCTCAAGAACGGACGTAAGCTAATCCAAGACATGCATTACAAGATGGTCAAGGACCAGGACACTTACACATTGCTCATCATCGAGGCAGTGGCCGAAGACAGCGGCTCATACGAATGTGTAGCCATTAACAAGGCCGGTGAGGCTCGCTGCCAGGCTACAGTGGAGGTAGCTGGTCCTCGCCCTGCGCAGGCACCGAAGACACCCACCACACCTGCCGGAGCCACCCAGGCCCCCACCATTGTACGGAAATTGCAGTCACATATTGTACAAGAAGGACAGCCCGCCACCTTCGAGTGCGTCGTGTCAGCAACACCTCGTAAGTGAATCAGCGTGCATTACTATGTAAAGTTCTTTGCACAAATTGAAGATCATGTCTTGATTGCTCAATGGAAGGCACGAATGTCTGTATTTACATGCCCACTTTTTAAATTGCAGAACCCAAGGTGCAGTGGATGAAGGGCAAGGAACCCATCAAACAGAGCAAGTACTTCACCATGACATCAGACGGCGAAGAGCATTGCCTAAAGATCTCTGAAGCCTTCCCTGAGGATGAGGGCAACTACTACTGTATCATTTCCAATACCATCGGCAAGGTAATTTTATTCAGATTTACCAACATACCCTGACGGTTCCGTTATGGAATAATTGATCAGCTGGACAATACTGGCAATATACTACCCAAATCTTCTCTCTATTATTATTATGATTATTTTTAAACTAAACCAATTCTTATTTTCTCTTTAACAGGTCACTCTAGAGGCTAACCTGCAGGTGGTACAGCCCCAGCAAGCAGAGTTGGCTCCCAGTATTGCTCCCTTGGAAGATGTAACAATTGAAGAAGGCGAAGGTGTTCGTTTTAACACTGTCGTGATTGGATCTCCCATGCCCAGCGTGCAGTGGTACCGAGAAGGTGCTCTTATACCACACTCCAGGGACTTCGAGGTGAGTACTGGCATCCGCATAACACACAATACAATACTTGAGTGTACGTGCAAAGCTACGTGTTGTATGTACGAACACACACAAGCCACGTTTATCCGCAGTACCCTTTCACATATGCACAGTGTTTGTGTTTTATTTTCATGATGTTCATATTGCATTTATATTATTTACTGAAAAAATAGTTCTAGAGAAATAACAAATTTTGTCAGACTGCAGAAAGTGATTAAAAAGGGAATAATAAAAATGGTTATAGCAAAGATTTCGAATCTACAGTCGCTGAAAGTTTTTAGAGATAACAGTTGCCAGATCGTGATAAAGTATGTAAAGCATTTTGAAAACCCACTTATGTCAAACGCCCCCAAGTGCATTGCGATGTTTTTCCTCTCTTTCTGTTTGCCGATTCCAATTATTTACAACTGCATTCCTTTGCGTAACTATAATTTTGCGAATTCCTGAGAGCCGGAAAAGAGAAAAGGAAAAGGAAAGAAGCAACATTTTCTTCTTTTACTTTATTTCTTCATCTTTTCTCTGTATGATGTATTTTGAGTTGTCGTTATGCTAATCAAATTTTAAACGGTTTAAAGGAATGTATTGCCTACGAGTCATTTGTTCGCCCTCTCCTCTCTCTCTCTCTCTCTCTCTCTCTCTCTCTCTCTCTCTCTCTCTCTCTCTCTCTCTCTCTCTCTCTCTCTCTCTCTCTCTCTCTCTCTCTCTCTCTCTCTCTCTCTCTCTCTCTCTCTCTCTCTCTCTCTCTCTCTCTCTCTCTCTCTCTCTCCTCTCTCTCTCTCTCTCTCTCTCTCTCTCTCTCTCTCTCTCTCTCTCTCTCTCTCTCTCTCTCTCTCTCTCTCTCTCTCTCTCTCTCTCTCCTCTCTCTCTCTCTCTCTCTCTCTCTCTCTCTCCTCCCTCCCTCCCTCCCTCCCTCCTCTCCTCCCTCCCTCCCTCCCTCCCTCCCTCCCTCCCTCCTCCCTCCCTCACCCTCCTCCTCTCTCCCTCTCTCCCTCTCTCCTCTCCCTTTCTCTCTATCTATCTATCTATATCTGTCTGCCTATCTGTCTATCTATATACTTATCTATCTGCATCTGTCTGTCTATGTATCTATCTACCCATCTGTCTATCTATCTATCTATATCTGTCTGTCCATCACTCCCTCCATCCTTCTCTGTCTATCTGATTGTCTGTCTGTCCGTCTATCTATTTCTCCCTTCCCCCTGTTCCTCCCTTTCGCCCCCCCCCCCCCGCCCTTCGTTCCCCTTCTCCACCTTCTACCAACACTATAACCAATATAACACGAGCACCTGCAATCAGACTCAAAAAGGCACACCCAGAGCGGAGCATGCAACCCGCTCGCCAAAGTAAAACCGAGGCAAGACAGTGATAGATGCAGCCATTAGCTCACGCGGGGATAAGATAGTGGATCTGGCACGGGCTGATAGCGAGCAGGTGACGGCGAGGCAGGGCGCGTGCCAGGCCGGCCGACCGTCCTCATATCACGTTGATTGACAGATTTGTTGTGGCACGGCGCACATGTGGAGAGGTTAATGTGCGCGAATACAAACATGCAGGCGAGCGTGTATAAATACAGCATGTGAATACACGGAAATGGATGGAGATACTTTACGCGCGCACGAACATGCACACACATGGGCATGCAAATAGACACGACGCTGCATGTTCATACACGTACGCACATAGATATGTGTGTGTGTGTGTGTGTGTGTGTGTGTGTGTGTGTGTGTGTGTGTGTGTGTGTTGTGTGTGTGTGTGTGTGTGTGTGTGTGTGTGTGTGTGTGTGTGTGTGTGTGTGTGTGTGTGTGTGTGTGTGTGTGTGTGTGTGTGTGTGTGGTGTGTGTGTGTGTGTGTGTGTGTGTGTGTGTGTGTGTATGTGTGGATGCATGTAGTATGTAATGTATGTGTGCATTATGTATATATATATATGTGTGTGTGTGTGCATGCATGTATGTATATATGTATGCATGTGTATATATATATATATATATATATATATATATATATATATTATATGTATATATATACATATTGTATGCATATATGTATAATACATATATATATATATATATATATATATATATATATATATATATATATAATATAGAAAGAGAGAGAGAGAGAGAGAGAGAGAGAGAGAAGATATACATACGCATATATATATATAATATATAGATATATATATATATATATATATATATATATATATATATATATATATATATATATAATATATATATATATATATATATATATATATATATATATATATATATATATAATACACGTACATAAGCACATAGATACATACACTACACATACACATAAAAAAACACGTACACACAAAGGCATGTAGGCGCATCTACAGCAAATTCTCCTTTGATCATTAAGTTCTACAAAAAATGACACGCCGAGAAAATATGTGATGTCGTTGGCGTCACACCTGGCCTCCTGTCAACGATACACCACCCCGTTATACCAAGGGTGTTGAAGAGTGATGTGTATTGCTGCGTCAGCTGGTCCTCTCTTGAGTAACGCGGTCAGGTACGAAGATACGAATCGAACATATGTTTAAAAGACCTCACAGGGGAACTTACACAAGAACATAGATCCCCTCGAGCGCAGAGGCATGTTTGAAGATTTTTGAATGCCGAATTTTAGTCGATTTCCTGAGAACTAAAAATTAGAACGTGGAATTGCCTTTTCAGATGCCCTACTCTTTTAAGACACTGTGGTCTAAAATCGCTTATTTGCCGTCTAAACCATCTAGAAGCAACATAGGATTGTTTGGTAAAATTACAGAGTGAATATGTGTGAATTTTCTTGAGTTGCGCAGTTGGCCAGGTGGACCGTGTGTAGAATTTGGAATAAAAACTGTTTTTTTAATGACTCAGGTGCTCTGGCCTTGATTTGCATTGTTTAATGTTTGGATTGGAAATCGTTCTCATCGTTTGAAGATGGCTTATCCAGGTGACTTTGAGCCTTTGCAATCATGGAGCTGCCGAGATTGTGGTCATTGTCTACACATTTTTTTAGTCTTTCTACGTACTTGTCAGATTAGGTCAGATAAAAATTACCGATCTTTTATTCATATATTTACACGAAATAAAGATAGAAGAAAAAAAATTAAATGATGTCAGCAGCTTCAATCTTGGCAGCGCGTCAATTAAATACGAGCAACAGCGTCATCTTGTATTTGCGTCTTTGTCTCTCCTTCCATTCATAATGTCAAGGCGGCAACGGAAACTCTCGCATTATTCGAATTCACAGCACGTTGGCGCGAGTAACGTACGTCCGTTGTTTACAATGGGCATCGCCTTTGTTGTCAGCCCGAAGCGCGTCAGCAACAACTCGTACCTGCTCTAATTTATCCACCTTCTTCCCTGTCACAATCTTAGTACTCAAGCCAAGTAAACCAAAGTACGTGCCAGTTTCTTTTAATTGTCACTTCGTAAACTTCTGCATGCATTCGTTTTTTTTTTCTTCTGATTAACCTTCCGCTAACTTTTCGCGTGGATGCCATTTTAATTTGTTCTTCAGCCAGGATTTCTTTGCGTGTGAAAATACGTCAGGAAACTGGAGGTGAAGATCACTTTACAGTTTCGCTCGAAGTTGGCAACGGACGCATGTTAGTTTTTTTATCGTATTTGATGCTATTTTTCAATAAGCATATTTGGTAAGGAATCCTTCTCTAGGAATCGGGGGTAGCATGAATCCCAATCACATGTCATAGGCATCCTGTATTCGCTTTTAATGAGCACGTGTATTGTAACGAGAGTCCGAATTGGGTCCGAATTTTACAGGCAGAAGTATTTTGATTGGTATTTGTCAGAACGATAATACCAACATTTTCTCAATACTGGAGACTTTTTGCTAAGCTTCCTCAGTAGTTAGTTTCTTCCTCTTTATCCACAAGTCCAGCTGCCTGAGGGAGGGTAACCCGAGCTAGGCGTCTAAACAGACCCGCGTGGAGAGCGCACGCCCCGCGGAAATTCAAGATCATTTTTCACTCCGACCTTGGTGTCTTTGTTGCCAAGCCGTCCTGTTACCACGAATATCTCGTTTTTGTTCATGGGGAAAAACATTATCTGATGCCGATGTTTACCACGAGCTAGAGAACGCACTAAGCAAACAATCCGCTATATTTTTAAAAGCGATTGCGATAAATAAATCGACTTGTTCAGGTCCATTTCTTATAATATATTTCGTACAAAGTGTTCCCTTTTATCTTTGGTTTGGTCCTGCTCATGCTTTGGCTGATTATGGCGGTGCAAATAAGAGGGAGTAAGAACTCTAAAGTGTTTTATCGCTTCATTTTCATATTTATTATCTTTCTATCATAATAATTATATCTTTGAATTTATTATTTCTCTAGAACTAGTTGAAAAACATAGATGTGCACTCCGATCTTTAAAGTATTACATTTTACATCATCATAAAAATGGATTAATCAGGACGATCTCTCCTTTGCCATTGCAGATGTTCATGGAGGGCAACACCGCCGTCCTGGACATCAAGCTGACTTACCCGGAGGACACCGGCATCTTCACCTGCCGTGCCACCAACTCTGCGGGGCAGGCAGAGACCTCCGCCATGCTCACGGTTAAAAGTAAGGCCGATTAAGCCAGCGTCCTGTAGGGATGCCTTGTCCCCCCTCCTGGTCAGTGTGTGAGGGGGAGGGAGGTCCCCCACCTCCCCTGGCGCGGTGTGAGAGGGAGGGAGGGAGGCCTTGTCCCCGTGCTTGCTGGTCGAGGGCGCATGTCCAGACATGAAGGATCACTGTCAGTGTAGATTGTTAGTAAACCATGAAACCACCTGCTTAAACCAAGGTGCTGCTGCTGCCGCTGCCTGACGAGCCCCTGGACGAGGCCAGCAACCACGGATCACAAGGAAAGTAGAAAGTCCCCTCTGCCAGTAATACCGATGTTTACCTCCCTTGGTGCCCTTCCCCCACATCGCGCCAAAAGTGTCTCCCCTTAGTCACACCCCTTCCTTTGTGTGCCGTTGACAGTAGGCGGCCCGCGTGGCCATATACGACTCAAAAATAGGATAAATCACGCTGTTATGGCATATCCAGGTGTGCTTCAAGAGCGGTGACGAAGGATGCCAGCAATATCATTTATCCTCATATTTTGAGTCTATCTATGTTTGTGATTTATTTATTGTTATTTTATTTGTCTTTTTCAAGAGACACAATAAGCAGATGATAAATATGTGCATGGGAAAGTAAAAATGAGTAGATGAGGGATTTTAGAAAATATTCGTTACTTCCTGCTGTGAACAGAAAAAGAAAACGGATTTATTACTGTTGCTGCTGCATTGTTACCAATTTCATCCAATAAAATCCGCTATTTCCTCTTCTGTTTACTATCTGGAAAGTCACATTAAAGCAAACATATCTAGCGTGAAAGTGATTTATCAAATGTAGAAAATAATTTCCATGATAAAAAGAGTTGAAAAGGAAGACATGAACCAGTTGACCTTGTATGTGTTTGGTGCTTTATCATAGATGTTGGCTGTATTTTATTTCTTTATCTCATTATATTTTAGATATTTACAATTTAGACTTTCCCTGGATTGTTTTATTGAGCAAAATAACTCCTGAATAATCTTGTTATTTTTGTATGCTTAACGTCTGGATATAAATTACATTTAGTAAGCCTTGTCATATTTCTGTTGACGCGAAAGTATACGCGTTACTTGCTCATTTGCATAAGGAACTGATAATGTATTTATTGTCCAGTGGAAGGTTAGAATAAGCCCAGATTCTTAATTTATGTTTAATATATTTCTCCGAGATTTCGGGACTTTAAACCTTATTGTATGATGAACTAGAGGTGAAGGGATGCATGACTGGCTACTGCCATTAGAACTGTATTGTTTCCTCAACATGCTAAACATAATCTTATAATGTACAAAACTTGGGAAACATAAATAAAATAATCAGTGATTAAAACTTCCAGTTTTACCTATCCACGCTTGATATAAAACAAGAGGTGTCTTACGCTTACTTTTTCCAGTCTTACTATATAGGCCTACATACAGTTTTGAATGGACAGTACATCTGTTTAGTAAGAGACCTCGGTTTTATGCAAGTTCTTTTCCTTTAATTTTTGTACATGCATATATCTATGTATATACTGGTATCTCGGTGGCGGGTATGTAGTTGCTCAACTAATCATGTTAAGAGGGCGCCAAGTGCGACGCGGCGCGGCCCCTCTTCACGGTCCTTGC